TTTTTGTGTGTTTTTTTTTTTTTTTTTTACACAGTTCCTGTGAAGACACCTCTTGAACAAGCAAAAAGGTGTAAGTCATTTTAATTGGAGGACTTGTATGAGTAGTGATTACTTTTTGGCATTGAAATATGAGCCTAACTTACCTAGATGAAAATGTTCTGGCTCTGCACAGGCTTTGCGAGACTGTGCATTCAAAACGGATTTCTTTCAGCACTTTTTCCTTCATCATAGTTCAGAATTGCCTTAGTGGGTGCTCCTTTTTGAAATACAACTGCCTTGATTGAACACAGGGGTACAAATTTTTGGGAGGCAACCTTGAAGAGCAACCGGTGTTGGCTTAACTCTGCTCCTGGTGATAACTATGGAAATTATACCATTGATTTCAACGGGAACAGAATTAAGGCAACTGTAAGTATTTCTGGAAATGTGACCCCACATTTTTAATCAATTGTATTTAACTACAGCAGCTAATAAAAAACCCCAAAAGATAAATAATAATAACAATCAGGCTCTGTCTGCTTTAAAAAAAGGGAAAATCCTTTAAAATCATATAAAACAAAACCTGCTTCTTTGTAAACAGGCAATACTGAGTAAGCAGGAATTCATGGTCCCGTTAAGATGTTAATTGTACTTGAATATTTGAATGAGGATTGGTCATAGGCCTAAAACACCTAAATACTTTAAAATATACCCATAAATAATTGTTCTTTACATATCATAATTGTTCTTACTGCATGTCAGAGACATGGACTTCTGTATTCCCCAAGAAATAAAAATGAGGGGTTATTTTTGGTTTTGGCATGAAAAAGTAAAAAGAAAGAACTAGCACCACCCTTAAGGGAGTGCATGGAATACTACCAAATCGGACTTTATTTGCCTTAGCTTTTTTCTTTTTACAAAAGTCTTAAATATAGGTTAATATGTAAACACTGTGCACGCACTGAGAGTTTGATCCTGGCCTGTTGAAATCAATGGCAAATTTCCCATTAACTGCAGAAGTGCAAGATCAAGCTCCGAGTTGGTAGGGTACGTGCAAGCCTAAGTCAGTGAGGGAGCCACGGATTCAGGGAAGCAAAAGCTCAGGTGCTCGCTTCAAAACCAGCCGCTGGAGGAATCGGACTTTGCGCCGAAAACTTTCCTGCACATGTTGGAGTTTTCTTGGTGGAGAGGGAATTCATTCCCTGCCAACAGTTCTGCCTTCCCTCTCTTTGCAGTGTACCGCCTGCCAGACGGGAGGCTTTCATACTTGGTCACGTAACGCCTGTGAAGACAGAACATGGTGCATTAGCACATTTATGCAAAATCTGTACCCTGTATGTGAAGCTAAACACTTGACATACAGAGGAGATTGCACTTCCACAATGTGCAAGTATAATCAGAAGATGTTTTAATATCCGCAGAATAACAGATACTGGTTTTTTAGGATTCCCTGGAGATCCTTGAGCTCTTTAATTCCTCTCAGGCTTTCCATCTATTGGATCAGAAAAGCCTGAATGGAAATCTGGCACGGGCTCTGCAAATGTTATCACCCTTAGGTCTTAGCAAATCGGGATTAGGAGAGATTAGTAAACTCAGCTTCTCACACAGCAATGCAATTGGCTACTGGAAAGCATCTTTTTTACCCTATTGCGCAGTTGTTTAGTTTTCAGGAAAGTTGGTGCCTTAATAAAACATGATAGAACACAAGGGTTGCAAGAGCTTAACACACCAGGTCCTTTTGTTGACACTAGTAAATAGCAGATGATGAAGAAAACTTTCCATTTCAGCTAGTTGATGGTAATGCACTTACTCTCTCAACAGTGTGATAAAGAACTACTGCTGGAAGAGTTTCAGGTCACCATCAGAACTGATCGTGCACAAGGGGACCAATGTCCTGTCACTTCAGTCAGTTTACTTGCAAAACCATATTAGAAAATTAGACTAAAATGCACATGCAGAGCAAGTTGTGATCTTCAAAAAGTCCTTTCTGAATCTCAGGGGTGAGAGACTGGGAAGCATGGGTTAGCAGAGGGACTGGTGTGTGTAAGAGTCTCTGCTGCACCTGACAGTGTTAGGCTGAAATGTGGCCTCTGTTGTTAATTTCTAGTGGCTGTGAACACCAAAAGCTCCAGATTCAGCAGCTGGCTGGAAGGACACCTCAGAAATTGTGTGCTCTTAGATCTTACCTGAACGGAGACTCGACTTTGTCCATCTGCATACAGACCAAAAACGGGTACTGTGAAAACTGCACTGTGGAGATGAAGTCTAAGGCCGTTTCTACTTCCAAAGTGGTTTCCATACCAGTTTTCATAAAGAAGGAATCCACCTCGGTGTTACCAGCTATAAACATGGCTATCCTGCAAATAAATTCAGATGTTACAATTAATTCAAAACACGTTAAGAAAAAGGAAATTAAATGGCAAACAGTCCTACCACCCATACAAATCAACTGCCCTCAAAGAAGCCTGTTATTCAGGAAGAGATATATAAATTCAGATGAGACCAGTGGGAACTGGTATTACCCAGAAAAATTCAGATGTTACAATTAATTCAAAACACATTACGAAAGAGGAAATTAAATTGCAAACAGTCCTACCACCCATACAAATCAACTGCCCTCAAAGAAGCCTGTTGTTCAGGAAGAGATATATAAATTCAGATGAGACCAGTGGCAACTGGTATTACCCAGGAGGAAAGAAGTACAAGTGTTCTCCCATGCACGTAAGGTATTTAATAAATTCAGATGTTACAATTAATTCAAAACACGTTAAGAAAAAGGAAATTAAATGGCAAACAGTCCTACCACCCATACAAATCAACTGCCCTCAAAGAAGCCTGTTATTCAGGAAGAGATATATAAATTCAGATGAGACCAGTGGGAACTGGTATTACCCAGAAGGAAAGAAGTACAAGTGTTCTCCCATGCATGTAAGGTATTTAACTCATCTGCAAGGTCTTTTATATTTAATTTTTTCTGATTGGGACTACTGGGGTTCAAGAGTCAGCTCTCTATGGCTCTATCACGCGCTGGGAGTATCTCACCGGTTCTTGACGTTGGTTTTGGATTCTCTGTACCACAGGCTGAACTCCATCCCTCCAGAGATGTCGATGGCCAGGCCGCCCAGGAACTCCGTGCTGGCCCTCGGCCCGGACTGCAGCTGAATCTCCTGGAGCCACCAGAAAGCAGAGGTAACCCCCGTTAGTGACTGCAGAGCTCAGTGGTTTCCTTACTCCCTTCTCTACCGTGATCGTGCCACTTGTCGTTTTGCAGGAACAATAAGGAATAGGTGGCTTTTCTGAAAGGGTGGACAAAACACCCCTGATGTACTTCACTCCCTAGAAACTGGGATGAAGTGGGTATTATTTAACTCATCTGCAAGGTCTTTTATATTTAATTTTTTCTGATTGGGACTACTGGGGTTCAAGAGTCAGCTCTCTATGGCTCTATCACGCGCTGGGAGTATCTCACCGGTTCTTGACGTTGGTTTTGGATTCTCTGTACCACAGGCTGAACTCCATCCCTCCAGAGATGTCGATGGCCAGGCCGCCCAGGAACTCCGTGCTGGCCCTCGGCCCGGACTGCAGCTGAATCTCCTGGAGCCACCAGAAAGCAGAGGTAACCCCCGTTAGTGACTGCAGAGCTCAGTGGTTTCCTTACTCCCTTCTCTACCGTGATCGTGCCACTTGTCGTTTTGCAGGAACAATAAGGAATAGGTGGCTTTTCTGAAAGGGTGGACAAAACACCCCTGATGTACTTCACTCCCTAGAAACTGGGATGAAGTGGGTATGCTAAAGTGGGATGCCTTGTATCCCTCCCCTCTCCCTTATATGCCAGCTGGTATAATTTCTGCAAGGAGTATCACGGCAAGGAATGTCGTGGCCTCTGCCTCCAAGAGCTACCACACAAACCTCACAGAGGCTCTGCTGGCACTCAACTAAATCAGATTAAACTCCTGACTGGAGCCCCAGTGATGGTGGAGAGTGGTGTGGCTTCTTCAGCACACCCAAAGGCTGCAAAGCAAAGCACACCAAGGTGCTGCAAGCAGTCGTGCCGTGTGTCGTGGCTCCGAACCCGCCCGTTGCCAGGAATTACATCTGCAGTGGCTGGGTGGCCAAACTCCTAAGCTAATGCACCTTAATTCCCACTGTGAATTTGCATTTAATGCATTTTCCATCAAGTGTACTCGTGGCTTCTTGAAATCTCTATGGCTGGACTGGAAACCCATCGCGTGGAGTCTGTTTCGGAAGTGATAATATTGCTCAGGGTCATGGGAGCTCATTACTTTTAAGTTTTGACACACGGCCAAGATTTTAAGGTTCACTGAGCTTGGCAATCTAACTCACTTTATACAGTTGTCCTGCTTCCCTAAGAACTAGTGACTAATTCACTGTTTTAAAAGAACCATTAATTTGGGAAAAGTTTATTTTTATCATATAAGCTGCATACAGGACATTTTCTCCTCTATCCCAGCTGGCTTTTTCCCTCCTTCCAGGTTTCTGTGCCTGTGGTATTCTCAGCCCCTGTAGCGCTGCAGGCATTTGTAGGATGTGTGGACACTCCATTTCCTCCCCCTTTTTGATTTCCAGGCACTTTAAAAGTCTCTCTTCTCTTCCTAGCTACTCAATTAGCCCAGTGGTTCCAGCTAATGCCTTCCCAAGTTTCAAGAAAGAAGCAAGCAGAGACAATCTGGCTTCCTAATGCCTACAGCACAGAGCAACGTTGGGGGAGGTTTTTATTCAGAGCATTAAAGTTTCCCTGAGTTTCCTGCTGTAATCGAGGACTTGGATAAATATGGTGGCTGTATATGGTTACTTCACCTTTTAGGGTAAATAAACAATCCCTGAAACAATTCCTTTGGCAGAACCAACTTGGCAGTCAGCTACTGCTGAGGTGGGCTTGAGATTTAATGTAAGAATGAAGTGGGCTGGCTGTGGCTCATAAATCTGGCATGCCCGCAGCAAGGGTGGTCATATTGTCCTCTGATTTCCTATTTTCATGCAAGTTAAAAATCACAGGTTGGAATTGTGGTGTTTCAGAAGTCAAAGGGAGATTTTCTACTGACTACAATGGAGCAAGGAATACTTTACTTGTTGATCTGTTTAGGTGTGGAAAGAAAGCTTGTTTTACGTTATTTTACTTTGTTTTAAGTTGGGCCCGAGTTGGTGGGTAGCAGTTAACCAGCAAGGAGGTAACAGTATACATTCTGGCGGAGACACATACACACAACTAGAGGAGCAGATATTTTTAGATGCATTGTCAAATTGCACCCAGGAATATTAGAGTAAGCTTGGTTTGCAATGGCTGCAGAGTTTAAGGTTTTAAAGGCTACCTAGAATGAAGCCAGGTTTGTCACTGGAGTCAGCAGAGAAGCTAAGGGGCACTTGTCTTGTGTTTTACTAGCTCATCTATTTCCTTATTTAGAGCTCAGTCCTGTCCTTCGCCTCATGTGCAAATCCAATCCAGGCTGATGGGAGGTGTAAATCACAGGGACCCGGCTTTCTCAGGAGCAGTATCTTCCTTTCCCTTCCTATTTTAAGCTTTGCATGTCACTTGCAGTGGAAACCATGATCCAAAAGATCAGAATTGGCAGTTTGTTACTGTTTAAAATGCTGAGACATGCTACCTTTCAATACAAAAAGCATTTCTTTATGTACTGCACTGACAGTGCTACTGTAATG